TATTTTATTTTTGTTTCTGACTTTACTATTTTTTACTATTTTTGTTTATTTTACCCATTTATTTTAATTTTTAAAAATAGTTTCTGACTTTTAAAAATTCCCAAAAAAATTGTATAATTACTTGACCTATTTTCTGATTTTTCTATGGTTTTTCTTTCATTTCTTGATTAATTTGAATATAATTAACTTTTTCCCCATTATTTTCTTTTTTTTCAAAACATTTTTTAAACCCTTTAATGCATATATTAAATATATTATTATTTTGTGAATATTTTCTGGCTGTCTTGGGTTGATTTTTTGATCATGGCTTTATTAACATCATTGGATCCATGGTGTTGAGTCTAACTCCACAAAAGTGGATGAATGATTTTAATAATAGTTTGATTAAATATTAATTCAAATGTGGTTTTCTTTTTTACCCTAATCCCCATTCATCGCAACCCCTTCTTATTGCACTAAGTGTTGTTGGAGTATGATCTCTATATCATGTCTCAAAATAAATGGTGCATAGATTGCTATTGATCGGTCTCAAAATAGGTGCGACTTCTATATAAGTCCACTTACGATTGCTTAACATAACGTTAAATTTTGTCCTGATTCGAATAAATGATCATTCATGGCCCAAACTTATGATTGCAAGCCCAAGTATGTTAATTTGGTATCTTTGATCCAATAACCTTGAGATTCATTGTGTGGAGGCTTTAGTTCTACCAATCCTCTAATAGATCTATAACACCTTTGATTAACGCGGATCACTTAAACATCGTTGATCATTAAATAGTACTTGTGAGAATTCCAAATGGATGATATACTTGACAAAAAGCAAATGCAACTTGTTGTGTGGAGGCTTTGGTTCTATCAATCCTCTAATGAGTTCCAAATGCAAGTTTCAATATGGTCATCCAACTAACCACTAATTATTGACTTGTTTATTTTATGCTTTATTCTTTTTATGCTTTATGTATTATTTATTTTTTAGCATTTTACATTTCATGCCATTTTTTATCTTTGCTCATTTGAGCATTTATTTATTCTTGTCATTTTTACTTTCCTCACTTGAGCTTTTTTTTTCTTTTCTTTTCCTAAGATACTTAATAGTCAACATAAACCATAAAAAACTCTTAATGGTACTTGGACTATTTGGTTACTATCCTTGGCATTATGGAGCAGTGGACTTTTCTGGACTTAGGATTAGAATCCTTGGCCTATCTTGGAAACCTTGTGATCTTATCTGATTATTTTGTTTGGAGCTCTTGAGGTTTACCTCAAGACATTGGGTTGCTTGTTTGTTTTTGTGTGCAGGTTTTTGTGATTGCATCCTTGATTTGTAATCTGGAATTCACCCGTATACAACTGTTACTCTGCCCAATTTTTGTGAAGACTTAATACACTTGAAGTTTGGTTCTCTCAAGAGGTCTAGTATCTTTACTTGCTTGGTTTCAATCTAAAGAATGGAAATTCTATCTTGGCTCATAATGTCAAATTTTGGGTTCTTGTTGGTTAGATGATCTTTATCCTTAGCTTTTACCTTATGCTTTAGGATAGCCTCTTCTTCTCCTCCCATTTTCTTTAATTTCAAAAATTTTCTCCCTACTTTTGAAAACCCTTCTTATTTCTAAACTTGAACCACTTTCATAATAAACATGGACCTAGGTCTATGCTTTTTCAAAATATTTTCATCAATAAACTTCAATCAATTTAATAATACCTTGACATTTTTGTGAGAAGACTAAAAGTCAATTAATTTCATTTCAAACCATTTTGCCACTTTGTCTTTTATCTTTAAACTTTTCTAAAAAAAAGATTAGACTCTTGTCAATCCTTGTAGTGATGCAAACAACTATACTTCTATAATATGTAGTGAAGTGATATATTTTCCACTTGAGTGTTGAGTGAGACATTGTTGATTTTAAAATCCAAGCCATATCCTCCACTTTGAGATGATGCAAATTCTCCTTTTCTCATGATTGTGGGTAGTAAGTATGTTTTCCACACGGACAATGACGATGATGCCTTATCTCTTAAAATTAACCAACACACTTATGTTTCAAACTTTTAAAAGAGGAACTACGTGTACTCTGATCCCCTATTGTACGAAAGGTGGTACGTAGGCACTAAAGGTCCGCAACCGCGACGGGTGTAAAAATCATAAAAAATATATTTCTTTTCTCACCTTCACCATCCATTTTATATACAACACATTTTTGTAGCCAAAATATACAGATTTTACAAAGAGGCTCCTGCGGAGTACCGTAGATGTTTAGGGTGCTAATACCTTCCATTTGCATAACCAACCCCCTTACCTTGAATCTTTCCCCTTTTTTTGGGTTATTCGCTCTTTTCCCATTCCTTTGGAAACAATAAAGCACGGTGACGATTTTTATTTTGATTTGTATAAAGTCTAGTCAATCCAATGACTTAGTCTTGAATATTTCTACCGCTATACACCTTACATTTTTTAGATTTGGTTTAAGAAAAAAACTAAATTTGTGACACTAGTATATTATTTTTATCCTTACTCATGCTTAGTTGAAATGTCATATAATTTTATAAAAAATATCATTTATAATAAATGACCATTTTACCTGTGAAATTTCACATATTCCTCTTTACCTCAATCTTAATTTAATTAGAGTTGAAAATTTTAAAACTTAAATTATTTGATAAAATATCTTAGATAACACATCTGTCCTTAGGGACGACAATGGACAGAGTTTGGACAGGGTACTATAATACATGTTTCCATATCCGTAATTTAAAAAAATTCTCATACTCGAACCTAAATCCGCATGGGCACTAATATTCATACTCGTATCTGTATTCGATGGATACTTTAATATCCATATTTGTGTCCGTTTATCTGTATTTGTAATAAAATTAAATCAATTAATTACGAAATATCGAATAGTTTTAGTTTTTTAATAAAATTAAAAAAAAATTATGACTTTTAGTGTTGAGTTAAGAAATAAATAAATATTTTTATTAAAATGTGTAATTGTTTAATAGTGATATATTTTTAAAAAATTAATAAACATATATTTTTATATAATAATATAAATGACATTATATAAATATATAATGTGTGTATGAAACGGGGTGAATAGCAAATTATTCGTGTCTACATCTATATCTATTTATTTTAATAGATAATTACTCATCCTTGTACTCGTGTTCAATTTTTAGATTTTTACTTTATCTATTATGAATATTTTTGAGTCAAATTACTATCCTTATCTGTCATTGTAAGAAAATGATAAAAAATTTATTTTAATATAATTGAAACTTGAATAGGATAAATTGTTCGAGATATTACATTGTTTTTTTAATGAGTAATAATACTCTCTTTTATATTTTCATTTAAATTTATAATAAAAACAAATATATGGATAAATAAAAATATTTATATAAATCTTCTCTTTGATAGTAATAAATTTATACATAAATAGAAGGTTAACATACAATAAATTATAAAACTATTTTGTTATAAATGACAAAATTAATCTTCTTAAAAATTATATATATATATATATATATATATATATATATATATATATATATATATATATATATATATATATATATATATATATATATATATATATATATATATATATATATATATATATATATATATATATATATATATATATATATATATATATATATATATATATATATATATATATATATATATATATATATATATATATATATATATATATATATATATATATATATATATATATATATATATATATATATATACTTTTGTTACTAAAAAAATCAAAAATGTCAACAGTAAAATAAAAATATGTCAATTGTTAGAATACACTTTCTCATATTTGATTATTATATTTAAAACAACTTTGAAAGTAAAATCACCAACCCTTAATTTCACCATTAAAAAAACTCAAGTCAAATCCATATAAATTTATATCTCATTCCTAATCACTCATACACCAAAATATTTACCGACCAAAGTGTCGATATCCTCTTAAATTAATCAGTCAAAAATAATAAACATTTCTTTTTTCATAAATACTCGGACACATTAAAATATATCAAAGATAACATCTCTAATAAAATCATTAATATTTAAAATATGAAAACTCTCAATAATAAATTGAGTGTTCCTTAAATATATTCAAAGACGCCCTAATGTAATATGAATGGAATACCAAGTCAAGGATTCTATTATATAGATGACATGATTTGTTGTCGATATTCAAAATAAGGATAAGATGAATCCCTCGATTTCTCCATTACAATATTTTATGTCAATTAGTTATAAAAGGACTTGGTATTTGGAGTAATGATCCTCTCCATTTCAAAAGAAAAGAAATAAAGGGGTCTATTACTATAATTTTGGTGATAATTATATGATTAATGTTACTACTTTTATAAATATATATATGAGAAATGGAGAGGATCCTTGCTGTGGTAAAGGTGGTCCCAAAACTTTAATTATTTCCAAGTATTAAATATTAGAATATAGATATCCATCAATTTAGTGTAGGATGTATGCATCTCACCTAATTTTTAGTATTAGAATAAGACAGTGCTAATCCACGAAGATGAAACTTGTATCACCTCATTATGAATATTATAAGTCTCAATTTATAATACAAAAATCATTACAATCCAAGCTTTTATCACACTATTTATCACCATATTTGTTACAATATTTGGAAAAATACTAACAAACATTAATTTTAAATTAAGAAAAAAAACTTATTGAAGAAGGAAAAACAGAAGCTAGAAAAACCGATTAAATGCATATCTGGATACCAAAACTCAAATACAAACTAATTAAAGCATACTAAATTAAATTTATTATATAACTATTTTACATTCAGATTTAGATGCTTATATATATATAAAAAAAATAAAAAAAAAACTTCAACAGACGATTGAGATCCCGACACGTGGCAGAAAAATGAACAAAACAGAACACTATTTACATGCAAAACTCAAGAGAGTTGTATCCATGTGATCACTGATCAACGGTGCTTGCTCCTTGTATCCCCACTGTACATCCTGCGATCACATACAACCAAACTCATTTTAGCACCAATCATCCTATCAACAAACTGTAAATCTCATCCGTAGATCAAAGATTCTCAAGATCTAACGGGTAAAACATGAATAAAACTATGTACCAATCATAGACAGTGGGGGTGTTGGGAAGTGGTTTGTCAAAAACATGAGCACCAATTGTCTTAGTAGCAGAATTACTCCCGGGATTGAACACGCTCCTCCAAACGTTGTCAACTTTACGCGCCGATGAAGGTGTTGTCGGTGTCACCGGTGTCGTCGGTGTTGTCGGAATCGACGTGCTCCTCATTAATTGACTACTTCCTCCTTCATCTACATCCAAATTTAAATTAATTATACCATCTCAATAATAATATGACATCACGAATCTATTATAATTATCGATAGTTATGTATTGACATCATATAAAATGACATAAATTTAAATCTGCGATATCTCTGATAATATAGTAGTAGTGCTACCTTTGACGTTGGTGGTGAGTTTTCTAAGCTTGTCAAGGCCACGTTCTGGTTGAGGGCCAGCAACAATATCATCCCAAAGTTTATCTAACATTTTGTTTGATAGATGAGTTTGATGATAATATGTAATACGAGTGTGGTTATATATATAGAGAGAGTGTGATGCTTAAAATATCTAGGGTTAAAATTGGATCAAGTGTTATTTTGGTTACAAGTGTAATATGTGAGTGGCAATATAGTAAAATGCAAGGGGTGGAAAGATTGGGGGAAATTGGATAAGGATGAAAAGTGGGACCCTGTTTATAATATCTTGATGAAATGTGGGACAGTGGTTGTAGTGAGTGGTGGGTCACCTCACAATTAAAAAAAAACACATTTGGTTTATCTTTTGTTCAGTTCTATTGTTGTTATATGAATGTGGGGTCCACCGGAATTGGAGATATGCATATACTCATTCATTGTGGATATGTTTTCTTTTAGGGAGATGTATGTATGTATTTATGTATTAGATTGGTATGCTATTGGATTGACGTCGGCAGCATTTTGCCTGTAAATATTAATTAGATCGATATAGTATGTATTAATGGACCATTCAACTAACAACAAAGAAATATTGATTTTATTCATAATTATTAAGATTAAATATATTTTTAGTGTTTATAAAAATTTTAAATTTATTTTTTTGTCTTTATTAAAATAATGATATATTTTAGTTCTTATAAAATTATTATATATATAATTTTAGTCTTTGTTGTTAAATTAATATATATTTTTGAATAATTATTTTGTAGATATGTTCAGAATATTATAAAAAATTCTTTAGATAAAAAAAATTTTAAAATTTAATTTCTCAGTCGAGATTTTTATTATTTTTATTCATATCTTTTGAAAATTAAAAAAAAATATTTAATTCTTTTTATTTTAAAAATTTTAAAAATTTGATAAAAAGAATTTTTTTAATAATATTTTAAATGCATATGAAAATATTATTCAAAAATTTAAAAATTTAAAGATAATTAAATAATTTTTAAAATTTTAGAAAATGACATAGACTAAATCTGAATGAACATAAAAATTTTAGGAACTAAAATTTATCATTTTTTTAATAAAGATTAAAAATAAAATTTAAAATATTTATTTAATTCTGAGATTATAATTTAAACTTTATTTGCATTTGCATTTATATGGACTTAGAGTTTAGAACTTGAATTAGAATTGATCCGTTTTGAACAATTATTTGAATTTAAAAATTAAAATTAAAAGTAGAATTGATTTGAGCATTTATCACTATTTAGAATTAGAGCTAGAATACGTTTCGAGCATTATCTATTTAGGAATTACAACTATAATTAGAATTAATCCGTTTTGAGTATTATTCTCTTTTTCGAAGTTAGAACTAGAATTAAATTTGTTTGAGTATTTATCTTTACTAAGAAGTTAGAATTCGAATTAGATCTGTTTTGATTTAGCTTTAATGTTTTGTAATTTTTCAGATATAGAGTCAGAATGTTTGATGAACGGTTTGGTACGATAGATCAAGTCTACGGTGCGATGAAAAAGTGACTAATCTGTATGGTTAATACTTAAAGGTCTAAGTCTGGGAGAGAATGAGAACTTAAGTAAGAGTAAAAATAGATTTGAATACTTGAAATGATTCATTTTTCCCTTTATATAGAATAGGCGGTTAAATTGTTCATGTGAGGTGAGGTACGTTGTGCGGATATCCGCTGGATCTAATTAGACGGTAGTAGACATGTCTAAATGACATAATTTCTTGTTCTTAGATGAGTGAGGGTTCACCTTCTCTACACATTTTAACGCTAAATGGAACTCTTTGACCTATCACTTTGAGCCTTGTAACGCCCTAGACCAGTTTTCCTCAAGCCTTGTTCGTGCTTTATAGGACGAGTATTAGTAATATATGCATTATTTGGGTTGCACGACTTGAGTATTAGGGACCTTTCTATCATTGGGAACAAGCATATTTAATGGTTTTCTTATAATAAGTAACATTTTGCATGCAATCTTTGAAGTGTAACCCTATGCTAGTGAGCAATGATCATTCCTTTACCTCAGGGTACTCATGTATTTTGAATAGTCTTTGATGAAATATCAACAATTGGTAGTTCGTCTTGCATTTCCCAATGTAATGGACCATATGGTCCTTATTCTGGATCGACCAGAAAGACCCCATATGACCTAAGCCAACTCGGCCTGCAATCTTATAAAGGACTTACTCATTCCAAAATCTTCTTAAGCAATGTAAATAATTACTTTTATGATCCCAAGATATCTTAACCATAAATCAAATTCAACGACCACCTGCAAAGAACGACGAGCAAATAACTAGTTCATTATTTTCATATATACCAAGCGTTGAATCGGAGTAACAAGCTTTAAATACAATTTCATCTCATTCTTCTTCTTCATATACTGACTTGAGTGTTGGAGTGCTAATCTTACAAGACTCGACTCCTCCCCATCAAAGGCTGCAATCCATCGTCACCTCCGTTCAACTTCTCATCTCTAGTTCTAGAACGTAACAATGGCATCGTCGGTAGGAAATTGACACTTTATTCCTAATATTTCCTCGAATTCACATTCAATATTCAACTTTCGCAGTTTGTAACTCTTTTAAATCATCAAAGCAAGTACTCGAAATCAAACACGAAGATCAATCGTGTCCTGATTCATTTCTTCAATATTTTCAGATCATCAATTTTCACCTTCAACGGAGATGGTTGGATCTAAGTCTATCCGATTTGTTATTACACAAGAAGATGTTATTGTTGCTTTAAAATCAAGTAATCAACTGCCTTTTTCTCCACCGCAAAATGTCGCAGATCATGGAGCACTAGTTTCACTACGTCCATATCTAATTCGAGCTTCACAAGTGGCCAGATCAATTCAAGTCAATCCAGTAGAAACTCATGTTCCACTTCTAGCTACGTAACATGAAGCCTTATCTGGCCTTCACACTCTACAAGCATACATTAGCTTATAAAGCGCCAACGAGATACTGAACAATGTGATTAACCTTGTCTGACAACAAAACTAACATGTTATCGAAGAAAGTCTTTAATGCATTAAAGAGAGACTCCACAATGCTCCTTTTTGCGAAAATACAAATCAAGAAATTGCTTCAAGAAAAATCCGTGTTGCCATCCTAAAGCCAGTTGGGACAAAAAGAGATGAAGCTCCCCAGTAAAAAGATCGACACGGAAGTAAAAAACATCAAACTCTTCCTATGAGCCTCAGATAAGACTAGGGAAATCATGCTCCCACCCTGACTCAAGAAGAAAGTCACACGGATAAGGTGCGTCTTGTAGACATGTGCAGTTTGTAGACGAACAATTGAGTTACTTCATCATCGACGATACCTCAAAGTGCAAGTTGTTTGCGTTAACCTTGATCAGACTAGCTTGGTTATGGTTCAACAACCTACCTGACTAATGTATTGATTCTTGGGCAGAATTTCGTAAGAGATTTCTAGCGTAATTCACAATCCGGAAGCAAAGTCTGATCATTAAGGAAGTTGTGACCGAGATCATTTAGAGGAAGAAATAAAGTTTTCATTCGTATGTCGACTGATTTATGCAAGTTTCGAATGAGGTAAATGGGGCTCAAAAAGTATTCAATGCTAGATTTTTTAGGACGACGTTCTAAGCGACCATCCTTTTAGAAAAAAATTGGGGAAGAGGAAAGTCAAATATGTCTGAGATATGCTAACCATGGTCGAACCTTTAATGATCTTGGAAGAGAAATTGACCAAAAACTTTGATAACCATGTATCTAGCGAGTCTCACTCTGATCGCCCTCCAAGAAAGAGCCTCATCAATGTCAGGACAATTCTGAATGAAACTTACAAGGGAAGTATGTCAGATACACCCCACTGACGGTATCCCGTGAGAGAATCTATCAAGAATATGTGAACAAAGAGTTTTAGAAGGAAGGAATCCTACCCTCTTATCTCTTCAGAGATACATCTTAGACAAACATGTCAAAATACTATTAGATCCATAAGAGTTGTTAGCACGGTGGTTGTGGGATTGTCAATAATTTGCTAAAACATGGTTCACAATAAAGGTGTTATGAGAGATGTTCTAACATGCTAGGCAGATTCATTGAAGAAAGATGTTCTGTCAAATGTTGTGACATTCTATACCAGAACATGTACATGCTGTTTTAAATCTTGAATGATTTAATTGGATTATGTGATATTCCTTTTGAATATATCTCCGTAAATTTCACAGGTCAAGAAGATTTAATCTGGAACAAGTTTTGTATCTCCAATTGTACATAAGTTACTAAATTGGGCCTTGAGACAATTTAGGAAATTTGGTATTGTTTGTTCCAAGATTTAAGGATATTTTACTACACAATTGGTGCATCACTCAGTTTGTGGATCAAGGAATATTTGGATGCAGATTTTAAAACCCATGGACTGCAAATAGGTGTAAGTCACCCTTGTATCTTTTAATACTCGTGGTAGATGGATTATTATCACTCAGAAGCCTTTAGGTAATGAGTTAAGTATTGTTATTGGATGAATCTTTTAAGCAACACCAAGTATTGTTCTTAGTTAAGAGTCTTAACTATGTTTTGTATTGGAAGTGGAATCTTCTTGTTGGGTTTTGTTTTATACCATCACTGTGATTGTGATTGGTTTAAGTCTAGTCACAAGGTTTGTGGATGTAGGTATCATTGTGGTGATTGAAAGTGATATGGTGATCTCTCATATCTAGATGGTGATTTCTAGTTAGAAGTTGCACAGGGTAGTAATTAGGAGAGAAGTTGTAAACTGGAACTGTTTAGACTTTAAATTGATACTACTAATAGTGGATTTCCTTCCTGGATTGGTAGCCCTCAGAGTAGGTGATGTTGCATCGAATAGAGTTAACAACTCTATGTGTTATTTATCATTCTGCAATTTAATTTCAGTATCACTTGCATATTAATAAATTTGTTCAGTATGTTAACAAATGTTGTAACATCTGTCTTGACATTGTTTTGATGTTGGGACATCCGAATTAACATGTGTTTCCTATACCAAAATTTCAATTGGTATCAGAGCAGGCACTCTAGTCTATTGTG